TTTTTTGTGTTAACCCCTTAATACAATTTCAGTTACAGGGCAACAATCTCTTACAATGATTATCACAGAATAAAGAAAATTCTCGCATGACAAACTCCATTAATGGTTTTCCTGAGGATACCAGCATGGTGAGCCTGTTACTTATAAAACAGATAATTGTGAGACATCCTTTGGTTCTCGTCTCAATGGATTCCTCTCCATCAGAACGTGCTTGTATATTTGTAAGCATTTAAAAAGGGCGATCAATAACTTTTACTTTGTCTAATTACTGCCTGTGAATTTACTTAAGTGGTCTTGCTCTGTCTCCCAGAGCTGCTTTTATCTTTATCTTACCTGGACCAGCAGAGTAATGGGACCACTCTTGTCCACCTCCAAGATCTCGCCATTCTTTGTCCCCACCAGGATGTGGCCGTGGCCTAGAGATATGGCACGTATGGAGGGATTGTCTTCCAACAGCAGCCCTGTTGAGTTGATGAATTGCAGCAGGAAAGTCAGAGACCTTAACTTGAACCAGTACACGGGAGGCAATCTTCATTTTGGCTAAAAGTATTGAATATTTAAATGGATTTGCGTTGCATGGTCATGTTAGATCTATGGAAGCTGCTTCAAGGACGGAAGAGGGCCACTGAGACCAGCGTGACCATTTTACCTTTAGAGCCTGGAGCGAGGACGGCTCTCTTGATGGCGTAGGTCTTGAGACATCTCTCAAACGTGTCATCCCACAGAGCCACGATACCATCCTTTCCCCCAGTCACGAATCCCTGCAGGGACATTATATTGACACATTTAAAGCCGCAATGATCTCTGCTGATTGGACATGTCACCGACAGGAGTATATTTCATTTTATATACAATCAACTGTGAGAGGGAGAAGTTCGAAAATTATACTTCAGGTGTAACTGACTCTGATACAACAGAATCATGAGAGAAAAGAAAGGATAGATAAAACATTTGTTTCTGATTTTAATTCCTTAAGAACTAGGCTTTTACATTTAAGATCAAAATGATAAACATTGTACATTGTACAATATTCTTGAGACAGTTGCCAATGAAAATCTATCTCACGCAACTCAGATGTAAATCATGTTAACAGATGAGGGAAAGTTTTGAAGTTTTATTCAAATGATGCATCAAATGGTGTTGAAATATTTACAGGTAATAGTGATTAAAAGCAAAAATCTGATACTTGGTTCTCTGGCTACTCATTTTCTTTCTTTCTTTCTGAAGAACTCCTCCTCTCTAGAGGGTGGGGTTTGTGATACCTTTTCCAGAGCGTGCATGCTGAAGACAGGGCCATCATGAGCTTTGACAGTCTTCATCAGGAACATGTCCCTCCAGATGCAAATGTCCCCGGTGCATGTTCCTGAAAACACCATCTCCTCCGACCAGCCGTACACAGCACACATCATAGTCTCAGTCTTCCCCATGTTACCCTTGCGCCCAATTAGGCCGCCACCTGAGGGAGAAGCAGACAGTGGGAAGTGTCACAGCTATGCCAGGTTCTTGCTTGTTAGAGGCACTCATCGCCAACACAACAGGGGTCTCACCAGCTTTATGCCAAAACTTCATATGTTTCACACCAGATGTGATGAGCTTGTCAGGCAGGTAGGGGTTTATCTTGACGACGAAGATCTTGTCCTTGCTTCCCCTGAATAACAAGTTGCACATCACAAAATGCATGGAAATATTACATTTGTC